CATGTTTTTAACTTTTGATGCCCAATTTTGTTTCCCATGGCTGTCGTAGAGAAGCATCATATTATAACATTTCTTCGGGTATCTTGAAGATGGCATATTTAGTAGCTTGACCCAGTATTTAATAACCTTTAAATAACTATTGATATACATGGGAAACCGTCCGCATTCACCATATACCCTTGCGTTTTCTGTGCTAGATTTTACCCCCAAGAACCGTTTACATGCATATAAATGTATTTTCTCAATAACATCCAAATGTTCTAGGCCCCAAATTTCGGATCCATACAATAGCATCGGGCTTATTTTTGTATCTAATATTTTAAAATAAACATCATATGTAACATTGTCCAGAACTCTAAGACTTTTTAATATGCCTACAAAAATTTCTTGGCTTGCAATGAAATGTTATGTGCATTCCTTGACCAAGTTAATCTACTTGTAAAACACAAGCCTAAGTATTTATAAAATGGAACAACTTCTACAGGCTTCCTTCTGTAAAACCATTTTTCTTTTCTGGATATGTTACCACCATTTTTAAAAACTACAACTTTGGTTTTATCCATATTTACAGTAAGTTTTGACTCGTCACAATAACTCTCTCATACATGTATTTGCTTTTGCAGGCCAGGTATTGTGCTCGAGAACTTGACTATATCGTCAGCGAAAAGAAGCAGAAATAATTTAATAGTTTCGGGGTGCAGTTGTATTCCATCAGTGCAATTTTTTTGGATTTCATATGCCAAATCATTTATGAAAAAGGAAAATAAGAAGGGACTTAATATACACCCTTGTCGGACACCCCTGCTACTTACAAAAGTATCCGATATAGCGCCATTGTTCCGTACACATACCTTCACATTTTTATATAGAGAGCATAATAACTTTCCAATTTTGCTACTTAGCCCATGTCTTTGAAAGTGTGACCACAAGTTATCCCTTTTCAAAGAGTCAAAAGCTTTTGCAAAATCTACGAATACAGCATATAGCTTCCCTCGTTTCACTGATAGATATCTCTGAATTATAGAATATAGGATAAAATCATTGTCAGTGGTGGAGTATCCTTTTCTAAAACCTGCTTGTGACTCACTTATCTTATCCAAAGAATCCGCCCAGAAAACAAGTCTCTTGTTAATAATTGAAGTAAATATTTTACTGAATGTACTTAGGAGAGTTATGCCTCTGTAATTATTAACATCGCTGGTTGCGCCCTGTTTGTGAAGAGGAACAATGATGCCAACTGTCCAATTATCTGGAAAATATGATCTCTCTAAAAGGATATTAAAAATTAGTTCCAAATATGGTATTAAAATGTCTGAGGAATGTTTAAAAAACTCTGCTATCACATTATCATTTCCAGATGCCTTATTATCTTTAAGGTTGGATATGCTGTCAACAATTTCCTCTCTAGATATTGGACATTCAAGAATATCATATGTTACACTGTCAACTTTATCTTCCATGAATTCCATGTTAAATAAATTGTTATTGTCATGGCTAACTGGAACTGAAAACAGTTCCTGGAAATGCTCAAACCAGGCTTGAATATCAATGTCATTTTTGCAATATCTATTTGGTTTAATGGCTTTTAGCGATGACCAAAATGTTTTAGAATTATCTATGCTTGATTCCAACAGTTTCTGTTTTTGTTCGAAATATTCTGTCTTTTTTTTCCTACAAACATCGTTGTACTGATTTCTTACTCTATTATAGTCGGTTAGTGATCCTCTATCCTTATTCTTTCTAAAATTATTTAAACGTCTACATCGCTCCTTTTTAAGTAGCTGGCATTCGCTATCAAACCATTGTTGATCATATTTACAGTCCTTATTCATGTCAGGAGGAGAGTGCGGACTAAATATAGGAGGAGAGTGTAGACTAAATATAGGAGGAAAGCGTAGACTGAATGTAGGAGGAGAGTACAGACTGAATGTAGGAGTAGAGTACAAACTGAATGTAGGAGGAGAGTACAAACTGAATGTAGGAGGAGAGTGCAGACTGAACGTAGTAAGAGAGTGCAGACTAAATATAGGGGTAGAGTGTAGACTGAATGTAGGAGGAGAGTGCAGACTGAATGTAGTAAGAGAGTGCAGACTGAATATAGGAGGAGAGTGTAGACTGAATATAAGAGGAGAGCGTAGATTGAATGTAGGAGGAGAGCGTAGACTGAATATAGGAGGAGAGCGTAGATTGAATATAGGAGGAGAGTGTAGACTGAATATAGGAGGAGAGCATAGCCTGAATATAGGGGGAGAGCGTAGACTGAATATAGGAGGAGAGCGTAGACTGAATATAGGAGGAGAGGGTAGACTGAATGTAGGAGGAGAGCGTAGATTGAATATAGGAGGAGAGTGTAGACTGAAGGTAGGAGGAGAGCGTAGACTGAATGTAGGAGGAGAGCGTAGACTGAATATTGGAGGAGAGTGTAGACTGAATGTAGGAGGAGAGCGTAGACTGAATATAGGAGGACAGCGTAGACTGAATATAGGAGGAGAGCGTAGACTGAATGTAGGAGAACGTAGACTGAATGTAGGAGGAGAGCGTAGACTGAATGTAGGAGGAGAGTGTAGACTGAATGTAGGAGGAGAGCGTAGACTGAATGTAGGAGGAGAGTGTAGACTGAATATAGGAGGAGAGCGTAGACTGAATGTAGGAGGAGAGTGCAGACTGAATGTAGGAGGAGAGCGTAGACTGAATGTAGGAGGAGAGTACAGACTGAATATAGGAGAAGAGTGCAGACTGAATGTGGGAGGAGAGTCCAGACTGAATGTAGGAGGAGAGTGCAGACTGAATGTAGGAGGAGAGTGACGACTGAATATAGGAGGAGAGTGCAGACTGAATGTAGGAGAAAGTGTCGACTGAATATAGGAGGAGAGTGTCGACTGAATGTAGGAGGAGAGTACAGACTGAATGTAGGAGGAGAGTGCAGACTGAATGTAGGAGGAGAGTGTCGACTGAATATAGGGGTAGATTGTAGACTGAATGTAGGAGTAGAGTACAGACTGAATATAGGAGAGAGAGCAAACTTAGTATAAGAGAGAACAGAGTGAATATAGGACAGCGAGCAAACTGAGTATAAGAGAGAACATACTGCATCTAGTACAGAACAAACTTAATATGGGAGAGAACACACTTAATAATATAGCAGAGAACAGACTGAATATAGGAGAGAACGAACTGAATATAAGAGAGAACAGACTGCATCTAGTAGAGAACAAACTTAATATGGGAGAGAACACACTTAATAATATAGCAGAGAACAGACTGAATATAGGAGAGAACGAACTGAATATAAGAGAGAACAGACTGCATCTAGTAGAGAACAAACTTAATATGGGAGAGAACACACTTAATAATATAGCAGAGAACAGACTGAATATATGAGAGAACAGAGTGGATATAAGAGAGAACAAACTGAATATAGGAGAGACTAAATATAGCAGGGAACAGACTGAATATAGGAGAGAACAGACTGAATATAGGAGAGAACAAACTTAATAATATAGCAGAGAACACACTGAATATAAGAGAGAACAGTGAATATAAGAGAAAACAGAGTGAATATAGGAGAATACAAACTGCATATATGAGAGAGCAGAGTGAGAACAAACTAAATATAGTAGAGATCAGACTGAATATAAGAGAGAACAGACTGAGCATAGGAGAGAACAGACTGAATATAGGAGAATACAAACTTACTATGGGAGAGAACAAACTGAAAATAGGAGAGAACAAACTGAATATAGGAGAGAACAGACTGAATATAGGAGAAAACAGACTGAATTTAGGAGAGAACAGACTGAATATAGGACAGAGAGCAAACTGAGTATAAGAGAGAACATACTGCATCTAGTAGAGAACAAACTTAATATGGGAGAGAACACACTTCATAATATAGCAGAGAACAGACTGAATATAAGATAGAACAGTGAATATAAGAGAAAACAGAGTGAATATAGGAGAATATAAACTGCATATATGAGAGAGCAGAGTGAGAACAAACTAAATATAGTAGAGATCAGACTGAATATAAGAGAGAACAGACTGAGCATAGGAGAGAACAGACTGAATATAGGAGAATACAAACTTACTATGGGAGAAAACAAACTGAAAATAGGAGAGAACAAACTGAATATAGGAGAGAACAGACTGAATATAGGAGAAAACAGACTGAATATTGGAGAGAACAGACTGAATATAGGACAGCGAGCAAACTGAGTATAACAGAGAACATACTGCATCTAGTACAGAACAAACTTAATATGGGAGAGAACACACTTCATAATATAGAAGAGAACAGACTGAATATAAGATAGAACAGTTAATATAAGAGAAAACAGAGTGAATATAGGAGAATACAAACTGCATATATGAGAGAGCAGAGTGAGAACAAACTAAATATAGTAGAGATCAGACTGAATATAGGAGAGAACAGACTGAATATAGGAGAGAACAGACTGAATATAGGAGAGAACAGACTGAATATAGGAGAAAACAGACTGAATATAGGAGAAAACAGACTGAGCATAGGAGAGAACAGACTGAATATAGGAGAAAACAGACTGAATATAGGAGAGAACAGACTGAATATAGGAGAGAACAGACTGAATATAGGAGAGAACAGACTGAATATAGGAGAGAACAGACTGAATATAGGAGAGAACAGACTGAATATAGGACAGAGAGCAAACTTAATATAAGAGAGAACATACTGAATATAGGAGAGAACAGAGTGGATATAAGAGAGAACAGACTGAATATAAGAGAGAACAGACTGAATATAGGAGAGAACAGAGTGGATATAAGAGAGAACAGACTGAATATAGGAGAAAACAGACTGAATATAAGAGGAGACTGAGCATAGGAGAGAACAGACTGAATATAGGAGAGAACAGACTGAATATAGGAGAGAACAGACTGAGCATAGGAGGAAGCAGATCCTGTTTATTTTGACATTACACTGGGAATGTTACTTTAACGCCAGATTATGGGCTTGTTTTCCTTATCACTGGGATGAACAAACGTTGACCACATTTCAGGACACTATGCTTAGCAAGGGCATATCAAGAAAGTAAAACTGCCCGTTCTGTGATCTTCAACAAGCCTGTTTGGCGGTTGGGCGGTTGGACGGCATCCGGACCACATCAGTGCAGCACACTGTCAGCAGAGATGTTTGTGGCTGTCAGCTTTGTTTGCATTTCTGTCCTCGTTGTGTATGTACAAGGTGAGTGAACCTCCATTCCACGCGTGAGTTGGGTCAACAGGTGGTGTCTACCAAGATAAGACCTTTGTTTCACATTATAAATTATCCGTCACTTTTTCTTAAAATATCTATAGTAATACTTCTAGGGGTGAGGGAAACTATTGTCCATTACATGCATGTACCGACCCTGAACAGAAGAACCAATGCAATTTGGCATTCATAATGTGTTAAGAGACCTGTTACATTAATTAGTCATGCAAAGGTGATAGCAGCAATTTTTTTAATTGTTTTTCCCGTCGGGGTTGTTTTCATCGGCCCATACAATATATTGATTTTTATCAACATTCAGTTTCATATTTCCAGCCATACGTGTGCTTATTTATGGTGAAGTTATGAACCATTCTAATCAAAACTGTGTTTATTGCTATGTACATATTTACTTATTCTGTCTTTTGTGTTGATTAAATGATGTGGGAATGAAGAATGTAAACGTTGGAACAAATACCTCATTGCACTAGCACTCGGGGATTTTTCTCCAGACAAGTGTAATGTGTGAAGCCCATTTCCTGGTGTTGTTCAAGGTGATGCTACTTGAGTATTGCAAAAAGCGGCGGGAAAAAACATACTCATTCACTCGTGTTACATTGGCAGGCTCATTGGAGTGCTTATGTGCAACTGTTGAACTTCAAATTACGTTTGACAAAGGCCCACCATTGCTACCAAAGGACAAATGTGCAGGAATTGTTGACGACGTTAAAGGGGCAGATGGAAGCGTGTGGTACATGGTTAACTATAACAATCAGGTATGTACAGTTCGAGCATTTGCTGGAAGTGGCCGTTAGATATCCTAGTTCCTTCTGGGTGTAGGTCCTTTCTGCTAAACATCTGTAGCGAAACATCAGACAACAAATATTTTATTCTACTCTCTCTCTCCCACGACCCCCTCTCTCCTCTCTCTCTCTCTCTCTCTCTCTCTCTCTCTCTCTCTCTCTCTCTCTCTCTCTCTCTCTCTCTCTCTCTCTCTCTCTCTCTCTCTCTCTCTCTCTCTCTCTCATATCCTCCTGTCATGGATGAAGACTAGTAATTCAGATTATAGAAAGTAACACACAAATTGTGTTCTCTTTCAGAGTGGCTGGATACAAGCAGATACCAGCATGATGTCGATCTTGCATTGCAAAGACATAAGTACTGATATTACTTCTTTAACCCGACCGCTACAAACCATGTTTAATACCTGATGCAGGAATACGGATGATAACACCAGTAATACATACTGATACCAATCCGTTTTTCTATGTAGCAGTACATTCTCGTAATTAGAATAATATAAGTATTATTGAACAATTCTCAAAGATAAGATGACCATTCAGTCGGGGTGACCATTGTAAGTATTTTACTTGGTGACCACTTGTGGACATCTGTATGCTATGACCTGGCTGACCCTGATGTTCGCACTAGCCACCACAGTTGTGCCTGAGCCTGTCACATACACTATTAAGTGTATGTGAACATATGCTCGTCTTTTTCGCATCTTTGTTTCTCATCTCCCTGCGGTCCTGAACCACCTCCCCACTGAAACAAATGAACAAAAGTTATTATTTCCACTGATTGGCTGACCTGAATACATATTTCAATCTAAAAAAATAACAAATTTCTCGTTTCATGATAATTATGTCGTCTATAGCGTCGTATTTTCCTTCTTGTCAGCTCTTTTGACTCGCCCTTCTCAATCCCGACCCAGCATTGGTTGCACTACGTAGAAATATAGAACATTAATGTCCCCGTGTGTTTATCAGCACATCCATTTATAGATAAGGCTCAAAATTCAGTTTTGAACTTGTAAGACCAAATCCTCAACCAAATTTTATCTATCTATATTTAACAACCGTCCGTTCCCTCCGATTAGGGCAAAGAGGAACGCACATTATATACAGTATATATGGATGATCTTAAACATTTATCCAGAAAACAAGCAGTCTTATGTATAAAGACAATGAAGTATGTCTTTCTTACTTAAAATGATTTCTGCTGCCACTATCGCAGCTTAACAAGTTATGTTCTGTCTTCAGATATATCCACTACTACTGCCTTACCTACAACTACCTCTCCATGTAGAGACATGGACGGCATCAACTGCCAGTGGCTGGACGCCGGCAACAACATATGTAGCGACAAAGCATCCGCACAACAATTTTGTCCTAAGTATTGTAAAATATGTGATAAAGGGGTTACGAGTATATTGGGACGGTAGCCTCTCAGCATTTTAATTTATTCATAAATAAATTATTTCTTCATATTATTTTGGATTGTTTTTATGATTTAACAAGAATATCGACTTATAATATATAATCTTACCAGAAGATCAAACATGCTCATACTAGTGATTATAATGCAGTGAAATTACATATTTATGGGGGCATCGGTCCCATCAACAACGCCCAGAATAACACATTGAATATAGTCTGTTCCATATGTGGCTGGGTGCCCAAACTTGATTGGTTTTAGGCCCAGAACAACTTCTGAACAAAAACACTCTGAAAACTGTTTTTAGTTACAAATTGATTAAATGGTGGTATAGTATGCTTACACGAATATTCGATTTACTCCATACACCGTGTTGTCAGTTTATTTTATCATTGAAATTCAACTACATTCTTAACCCATTATCTGTTCTCACACCTTTCTACGGTCCTCTTATACATGTTGAGAGGAAACTGGTGTATCATCCACTTCTTGATTAATAATTCATTATTTTTATGTTTATCTGCGAACAGACTTGTCAAGACATTCTTTTCATATTGCAAACGAAACGCTGTCAAAAGTATATTAACTTGAACAAGGTATTCTGACAGGAAGGAAATTGTTGTCCCTCTGACCATCACTTCTGCAGCTTCATCGGATCACGGCGGGAGACACCGGAATCGAACATGGTTCTTGAGCATGGGTTCATTAGCAAACACTGTAACCTATAGGCTACCGAATCGCTCACAATACATACGACTTGAGCTGTGGATTTTGCAGAGCACGAACGTAACAACCAGAACTAGAACGACACGTCATTGTTTGCTTTTTAAACTCATTTAATCTTAGATTGTCACAAAACAATAACCTTGATATGGTAAGACAAACAGACTGTATTTGGATAACTTGAAGGAGACTTGCTTGGATTGCCAACTAGCCAGAGTCTTTCTAAGAGGGACTATGATTTAAAGCACCTTTTCATCCAAGTTCTATATATTGTGATTAATGCCATGTGTGCGACATAACCCCCATTGATTTGTCACATTACTACCAACGCAACCTATAACAAGAAAAACATGGCTATCAAGGAACAGATGAGCCTGACAAGAACCGTTTGTGAACTTCATAACGTACACGAGTGTCTCTACCACACCCACGCCTAAACATACTTCCTACATATGCCGAATGAGGGCAGTAGACAAGACTGCCCGAGACATGGATACATGAAGTTATAAAGATAAGTTATCCGGGGTGTGTTGACACGGAATGACTTATACAACAGTTGTATACCACAGATTGTTTATTACGATGTTCATAGTCATTAACTTACTTCTTGCCATTTTGCCTGCCCAAGGTAAGTGTTACTATGTACAAGATATACTTATTATATTCTTACAGTGATCCCATAAAAATAGGCGGATTCGGAAAATTAAAGGTAGGGGCACATTGGTAATTCTTAACGTAACCGGGATTACGTCATGTCATAGAGCATACATATTATTTTTCATCTCCTTGTTAATACAGGTTAATCTTTTCATTTGACTTAACATTAGGAATACGGTTTTTGCTAAGACGCATTTAGCTAAACGTTTTAATTAAAAAAATACGGGTAAATATTGTTAAAGCTTGTAAATTCTATTAACCTACTTAAAGAGGCTGTAAATAAAATTGATATCTCATCTATATAAGGAATAAAGGACTACTGGTCATTTATCGAACGGGGGCACGGATGGCCCAGTCGTCTAAGGCGCCGCAATTCGCTGTGCAGATTTGCGTCCCTTGAGCACGCCAGAAACCTATGATTGTGGGTTCGAATCCCGGTTCGCCCCGTAAATGTTTCTAGGTTTGTCAGCACCATACCTGTGCTCGTGGGTGTCACCGAGGTGGTATACGTCTGAGACCTGCATCACTTCGGGCTTTCCTCCCACATTAAGCTGACACGCCGTGATATAACTGGAATACCGTTAAAAGCGGCGTTAAACTCAACTCACTCACTCACTCATTTATCGTACAATAAAACGCTAGAAGAAGCCACTCGGGGCTTCGACTCTCGTGATTTATTCTCCCTTAAGTGTCTCATTGTACCATAAACAATTACCAGGAGACGTGTATTTCTTGTAGAGATGAAAGTCAACACGTTCGTAGGCATATAGCCTGACGGCCGAAAGAAACTTTACCACTTTATAGATGAAATTGCAAAGATTTAAAAACACAAGTTCAAACTACATCAATGGAAAACACATCGTCCAAACACAACAATGCTCTATGACACCCGAAAAACGCGAGCGGGCCCTGGCTATGATACAGATGGGTGCCACCCATGCCCACGTTGTAAAAACTTTTGCTTGCTGACGTGTTAATGTTACTTACCTCATGCAACGTTATAGAAAGACCGGGCAGATATCAGACAGGCCGTGAACCAATCTCATTAAAATCAGATCTGAGTTCTCGCTGCCGCTAAACAAAGATCTGAGGACATCCCATTACGGATGCTGTATGACTGTCATTTTAAATTTTGATTTTGTGAAGAGTTTGATCTTTTCGATACATTTTACTTCATGCATCTGTATATATAGGGGGCGGTCGGGTAGTCTGGTGGTTAAAGCGTTCGCTCGTCACGCCGAAGACCCGGGTTCGATTCCTGACATGGGTACAATTTGTGAAGCCCACATCTGGTGTCCCCCGCCGTGATATTGCTGGAACATTGCTAAAAGCGGCGTAAAACCATACTCACTCACTCATGCATCTATATTTGTAGTTTTAAAAATATAGTGATTTAATACTATATTAAAGTTTTATTTGGTCGTCAGTTTAGATAATAGTGCACTCTTTTATTATAGAAATATATTGATTCTTCTTGCAGAGTTTTACTGTACGATAAGCAACGACCACGAGTCGTTTATTTCTTATATGAGATATCAACATTTTGTAAAGCCTTTTTAAGGATGTCAATAAAATGTACAAGTTATAAAAACAGTTACCTGTATGTAAATAATGATGACTCCCTGAATACAATCCGACCTCGGCAATGTTGGACACGTCCATTTTATGTACAGGGGGGTTAAGTTTGGTATATAGATGATAGTTACACTTTTATAGATATATAGATGATAGTGCACACGTTAATAATTATATAGATGATAGTGCATACACGTGTAGGCATATAGATCCTAGTGCACTCGTTTGATAAGCATACAGACGGTAGTGAACAGTTCCATACAAATAGGGAATAGTGTGATGTGCACGCTTTGACACGAGTTGGTCGTTATCATGTCATGTGCACACATCGTGACTGAGAATATAAGTTAAGAAATAGTTGCCATGGAAACGTGTCCCAGTGTGTTTCAAGCCACGTGCTTTCATTTAATTTACTCAGCCTCTCTAAACAAATTCAAAATTTATGAAAACAAATAAAAACTGTATAGAACTACAATTTCACAATCAGATCCGGTTATAACGAACACCATGGGATCAACATGTAACTTAGTCGAAGTTTCATTCAACTGAGTACTAAATCAAAATACCGCTTACGAACGAGAAGACATTTAACTTGTTTGTTATAATCGAATACTTAATAGTATTTGCTCTATCCGACTTCAGTATCCCCGGAAATGTGGTGTAATATGTAAAACTGTAAATTCGTACAATACAGAATATTTAAGTCCCCGCTATTTAACTGGGATAGACTAATGTCAGTGCTTATATTATTTACAGGGGCAATAGATTGTCTGTGTGCTAAAGAGGATCTCAGCGTCCCAACGAATACCGGGCACTTAGTGGTAGCACGTGGTGAGTGTACAGGCATTGAGGACAAAGTTGGAGACAGTCACCAGGCCGTGTGGTTCCAGGTCAAACACGGCAATGAGGTAGGACAAAAGCTCCAACACGTGTACCAATGTGTAGAAATGTTGAAGAAGGTAGAATTGCCTACCTTCGTATTTTTCTGAGTGGTGGCAGTACCTCCTGATCATCTCTCTTACCGTCTTGAATACCTATGCCCACCTCTCGACAGCAGCGGGGGAAAGAGTATCACCCCCTGGACAAGTTGACACCATGTCCGCATAGGTGGCTACTGAAGTTTTTGTTGGAGAAACTTGATGGCAGCGCGGTAGCCATATTTGTCCATTTGTATCGACAGAGAATACCATGTCACTTTGACGACTGCAGAAATATGCTGCCTTGTTATGTATGTGTTTCCAATGCGGCCTGTATTGTACTTCTACACGCAATATGTGAACTATACATCCTCGTAGTTGGGATCAGAACTTTTCAGCCACCCCTCGTAGTTTTGATCAACTGACAGCGCTCGGATACATAGGAACATCCTCATATTGATACTGAGTACCACTATCTATTTTAGACGGATGGATTGAAAACCTTCATATAGTGTACCACTATCCATATACGAAGGGTGGATTGAAAACCCTCATATCGTGTACCACTATCCATATACGAAGGGTGGATCGAAAACCCTGATATAGTGTTCAACTATCCATATACGAAGGATGGATTGAAAACCTTCATATAGTGTACCACTATCAATATAGGAAGGGTGGATTGAAAACCCTCATATAGTGAACCACTATCCATATACGAAGGATGGATTGAAAACCCTCATATAGTGTACCACTATCCATATACGAAGGGTGGATTGAAAACCCTCATATAGTGTTCCACTATCCATATACGAAGGATGGATTGAAAACCCTCAGATAGTGTACCAGTATCCATATACGAAGGATGGATTGAAAACCTTCATATAGTGTACCACTATCCATATACGAAGGATGGATTGAAAACCTTCATATAGTGTACCAGTATCCATATACGAAGGATGGATGGAAAACCTTCATATAGTGTACCACTATCCATATACGAAGGATGGATTGAAAACCTTCATATAGTGTACCAGTATCCATATACGAAGGATGGATTGAAAACCTTCATATAGTGTACCACTATCCATATACGAAGGATGGATTGAAAACCTTCATATAGTGTTCCACTATCCATATACGAAGGATGGATTGAAAACCTTCATATAGTGTACCACTATCCATATACGGAGGATGGATTGAAAACCCTCATATAGTGAACCACTATCCATATACGAAGGATGGATTGAAAACCTTCATATAGTGTACCACTATCAATATAGGAAGGGTGGATTGAAAACCCTCATATAGTGAACCACTATCCATATACGAAGGATGGATTGAAAACCCTGATATAGTGTACCACTATCCATATACGAAGGTTGGATTGAAAACCCTGATATAGTGTACCACTATCCATTTACGAAAGGTGGATTGAAAATCCTCACATAGTGTACCACTATCCATATACGAAGGATGGATTGAAAACCCTCATATAGCATTCCACTATCCATATACGAAGGGTGGATTGAAAACCTTCATATAATGCACCACTATCCATATACGAAGGATGGATTAAAAACCATGATATAGTGTACCACTATCCATATACGAAGGGTGGATTGTAAATCCTCATATAGTGTACCACAATCCATATACGAAGGGTGGATTGAAAATCCTCATATAGTGTACCACTATCCATATACGAAGGGTGGATTGAAAACCCTCATATAGCGTTCCACTTTCCATATACCAAGGGTGGATTGAAAACCCTCATATAGCGTTCCACTATCCATATACGAAGGGTGGATTGAAAACCCTTATTTAGCGTTCCACTATCCATACATGAAGGGTGGATTGAAAACCCTCATATAGCGTTCCACTATCCATATACGAAGGATGGATTGAAAACCTTCATATAGTGTACCGCTATCCATATATGAAGGGTGGATTGAAAATCCTCATATAGTGTACCACTATCCATATACGAAGGATGGATTGAAAATCCTCATATAATGTACCTCTATCCATATACGAAGGGTGGATCGAAAACCCTGATATAGTGTACCACTATCCATATACGAAGGGTGGATTGAAAACCTTCATATAGTGTACGACTATCCATATCCGAAGGATGGATTGAAAACCCTGATATAGTGTTCCACTATCCATATACGAAGGGTGGATTGAAAACCCTGATATAGTGTTCCACTATCCATATACGAAGGATGGATTAAAAACCATGATATAGTGTTCCATTTTCCATATACGAAGGGTGAATTGTAAATCCTCATATAGTGTACCACTATCCATATACGAAGGGTGGATTGAAAATCCTCATATAGTGTACCACTATCCATATACGAAGGGTGGATTGAAAACCCTCATATCGCGTTCCACTATCCATATACCAAGGGTGGATTGAAAACCCTCATATAGCGTTCCACTATCCATATACGAAGGGTGGATTGAAAACCCTCATATAGCGTTCCACTATCCATATACGAAGGGGGGATTGAAAACCCTCATATAGCGTTCCACTATCCATATACGAAGGGTGGATTGAACACTCACATATGGGACGGATGGACTGAAGACCCTTATATATTGTACCTACATCCATATAGGAATGATGTGTTGAAAGTAGTGTACCAGTATCTATATTAGTTGGTTGGACTGAACCTCTCATATGGAGTACCATTATCAATGTTGGGTTGAAAGCCTTCATTACCCATTATCTATTTATACGGCCGCTGTTGTGTTTGTTGTGCATTTGATGTTACAAAACGACTTGGTGTTTTCAGACTGGTTTGATTAAAGAAGATGCAAGCATAATGTCTGTTCTACCATGCTGGAATGTAACGAACAAATTAAGTAAGGTCTACTTTTGCTAAATCGATGCTTACATACAAAAGAATAGTTCTGCTTTCTGGCTGTCATAGGGCAGAATAAAGCCAGCAATAGTAGCCATAGCAATAGTGAGCAGCAGTAGTAGTAGTAGTTGTAGTAGTCGCAGTAGTATTGCTAGCCCAATAAGATACCCTGCCGCATGTAAAATAATTCCCCACCCAGACACTGTATACTGAGTCCGAGCCGACCAGTCCTTTTTTAGCCCCCTAATACCGAAAACATGTCACATCTTTTGGTATGATGTGGCCTGCCTCTATCGAGTAGACCATAGAGGCGGTCTAGTAGTAGTAGTAGTAGTAGTAGTAGTAGTAGTAGTAGTAGTAGTAGTAGTAGTAGTAGTTGTAGTAGTAGTAGTAGTAGTAGTAGTAGTAGTAGTAGTAGTAGTAGTAGTAGTTAGTTGATTAGTTGATGTAGTGGTTGTAGTGGTAGTGGTAGTGGTAGTAGTAGTAATCTTCGTCAAAATCTCCATTGTGACTTTATTTCATTTCAGAACCAACATGCACAGATATATCCACTCAGTGTCAAAAATACTTTCTGGGCACACCAAAACTGCAAAAAATACTGCAATGTCTGTGGTTAGTATTACACGAACGTCTTACGATATATGCATCTGTATACTTGCAGCTATAGAATTTACAGCACAATGACTACTTTGCCACATTTCACATTTAGAGAACACTTACTATATATATAGACTTATGACCACCTAGAGAACACTGGGATTGGCACAGACATATGACCACCTAGGGAACACTGGGATTGGCACAGACATATGACTACCTGGAGAACATTGAGATATACACAGACATATGACCACCTAGAGAACACTAGGATATGTACAGACATATGACCACCTAGGGAACACTGGGATAAACACAGACATATGCCTACCTTGAGAACATTGAGATATACACAGACATATGACCACCTAGAGAACACTAGGATATATACAGACATATGACCACCTAGGGAACACTGGGATAAACACAGACATATGACTACCTTGAGAACATTGAGATATACACAGACACATGACCACCTAGAAAACACTAGGATATATACAGACATATGACCACCTAGAGAACACTGGGATATACACAGACATATGCCCACCTAGAGAACACTAGGATATATACAGACATATGACCACCTAGAGAACACTGGGATGTGCACAGACATATGGCTACCTGGAGAACATTGAGGTATACACAGACATATGACCACCTAGAGAACACTAGGATATATACAGACATATGACCACCTAGGGAACACTGGGATATACACAGACATATGACTACCTGGAGAACATTGAGATATACACAGACATATGACCACCTAGAGAACACTAGGATATATACAGACATATGACCACCTAGGGAACACTGGGATTGGCACAGACATATGACTACCTGGATAACATTGCGATATACACAGACATATGAACACCTAGAGAACACTGGGATGTGCACAGACATATGGCCACCTAGAGAACACTGGGATATACACAGACATATGACCACCTAGAGAACACTGGGATGTGCACAGACATATGACCACCTAGAGAACACTAAGATATGCACAGACATATGACCACCTTGAGAACACTAGGATATGCAGACATATGACCACCTAGAGAACTCAAGGATATGCACAGACATATGACCACGCAGAGATCACTGGGATATACACAGACATATGACCACCTAGAGAACACCGGGATATATACAGACATATGACCACCTAGAGAACACTAGGGTATACACAGACATATGCCCACCTAGAGAACACTGGGATATGCACAGTCATATGACCACCTAGAGAATACTGGGATATTCACAGTCATATGACCACCTTGAGAATACTGGGACTTTCACAGACATATGACCACCTAGAGAACACTGGTACATTCACAGACATATGACCACCTTGAGAACACTGGGATATGCACAGACATATGACAACCTTGAGAATACTGGGACATTCACAGACATATGACCACCTAGAGAACACTGGGACATTCACAGACATATGACCACCTAGAGAACACTGGGGTATTCACAGACATATGACCACACAGAGAATACTGGGATATGCACAGACATATGACCACCTTGAGAACACTGGGACATTCACAGACATATGACCACCTAGAGAACACTGGGGTATTCACAGACATATGACCACACAGAGAATACTGGGATATGCACAGACATATGACCACCTAGAGAACACTGGGATGTGCACAGACATATGACCACCTTGAGAACACTGGGATGTGCACAGACATATGACCACCTTGAGAACACTGGGATATGCACAGACATATGACAACCTAGAGAACACCGGGATATATACAGATATATGACCACCTAGAGAACACTAGGGTATACACAGACATATGCCCACCTAGAGAACACTGGGATATGCACAGTCATATAACCACCTAGAGAACACTGGGCCATTCACAGTCATATGACCACCTAGAGAATACTGGGATATTCACAGTCATATGACCACCTTGAGAACACTGGGATATGCACAGACATATGACAACCTTGAGAATACTGGGACATTCACAGATATATGACCACCTAGAGAACACTGGGACATGCACAGACATATGGCCACCTAGAGAACACTGGGATATTCACAGACATATGACCACACAGAGAATACTGGGATATGCACAGACATATGACCACCTAGAGAACAGTGGGATATTCACAGTCATATGCCCACCTAGAGAACACTGGGATATTCACAGACATATGGCCACCCAGAGAACACTAACGTAAGGTCTGTGTTTCAGATACACATCTCACCATGTGTGGTGACGAGGAACCTAACTGTCACCTGTACGGCAAGTCGGCGTGTAGTCAGTATGGCGTGTGGGCGCGTCAGAAACGCAAGCAGTATTGTGGTTTCTGCGGTATGTGAAATGTATAGTTCAGGTGCAGACATTAACGCTGAAGGTGTAGTTGTCGTGGATGGTACAACAGCAATATATTCTGGCGAAATTCAGAACACAGAAAAGTACCCTAGCTGGCCACATAATATGGCACTACAACAGCTGGGCGAGTTCTTTAAATGGTGCACCGGTTTGGGTTGTACTTGTAAGGACAGGGTACACGCCTGTATATAGAAAGGTATGACTTCTGTGATACCCTACGCCATAAACGGGCACGTTCAGTACGGTGAACATTTGAGAAAAAATGGAATAGCTTGACATTTGAATGAAAGAAAAGAATTAAAAAAGCAATACGTTAATTTAGTATCAACAGTCAAGTTTGACAAAGCGGTCTAAGGTGCCGCATTTCGCTGTGCAAACATACGCCCTTTAGTATGACCGGGTACATAAGTCTTTGATTCGACCTGGTTTGATTCTTTTTAACATTTACGTGGTAAAATGTCTACGCTATTTCGTCTTTTCCTCCACATTACGCTAACACGCCATGATGTAGCTCAAATACAGTTCATAGCGGCGTTTAACCTTAACAGACACTTACTGACGACACAACAACATGTAAGTGAAAGTCTGTTATACATTTCTAACAAACCGGGCTATGATGAAGATTATTTGTAATACGGCTCTAAGGGAATGTTTTTATAAGCCAAATAACGATAGAGCAGTAGTAATATATTACCAGTCAATTGGAACACGACTGTCATTTCAATCTCAATTTGACGACACATTGTTAAGTCGTTCACGCGTGCCACCGACGGTCAGGGGCCGATTCTTCACAGAAGAATATTGGATGTGAATGTGAATGGTTATCTTTATACTTTTTAACATATAAACATGCCGTTGGTAAAAAACACTGCATGGTGTGACTTGAGTTTCAGGAAAAAACGGTAAACGGTTTCACTCAACTCTTCATTAAATAAATAAATTTCCATATAAATAATTGCTGCACAAAATTATTATGGATGAAGGAAAGGAAGAAACAGTACTCTTCTAATAGGTAAAAATAGGACAGAAATCAGACTGTTTCGGTGCATGTCATAATATTGCTCAAGAACGCTAGAAAATGTTACGGGACGTTTTCATTTCCGTTACCATTTTCGTTTCTTTATTTTGCTTCAGATGAATTTTGTTTGGATAACTTAAAGGACTGCTCATCGTACGGCAAGTCTGTGTGTACACAGTATGCGTCGTGGGCCTTGACTCACTGTCAGAACTTTTGCGATTTATGCGGTAAGTACACCTAACGAAAACAGTCAACAGGACCAATGCCACAACGGACCAAATCGACTGAGAGCAAAAACGTGCCAGCTAATGTTTGAGTTATAGCCAAACAAACTGGATATCTTGACCAAATCGAAATGTCCGACACCCCATCTCTACGTGAACTTCGTGTTCTTACTTATGGTTATTTTTATGTAACGTAGAATATATGTTATAAATAACCATACCACATCCAAATAACAGAAGCGAACTAATGGAAACACTTGGAATCAATTCTTGAGGTCATAGATTTAGGAGAGGTGACCAAGAAATCATATATACTGAGAGGAAACGCAGCCAGTTTTATATCACATTTCTCGTTACTTTCGGACGTAACAACATCAACAACTACTACTACTGCGACTACAACGACGACGACAACAACTACTGTCGCCACAACGTTTTCAGGATGCAAAGATATGGACGGCATCAGCTGCAAGTGGCTCGACGATACAAGTGACATATGCTCCGATGAAGCCTCGGCACACGAGTATTGCCCCAAATATTGTAACATCTGTGGTGTGAGGACAGCAGTACTTTTTGGGCGGTAGCGTGATGTTATACAGTTGTAACAACGCCTGCATCGTTATAATCATTTCCCTGCACTAAATTATACCACCGCGTTTGACTGTTCATGTCACTGTCAGATACAATTCACAATGTAGCTGTCCCGTGAATATCCGGGTAGAATAGGTTTTCAGCAACCCATGCTTGCTGTAAAATGCGACTATTCTTGTCATAAGAGGCGACTAACGGGATTGGGTGGTCAGACTCGCCGACTTGGTTGATGCATGTCAATTTTGGTGTCATTAGTTCCAGCTTCAGATTCTAAGATGGTATCTGGGGTGAAACGTTTTTAGAGATGATATAAGTTATTTTTATCATACACGTATCAATGATTTGAGGCATTTTGCATGTGGCGAGAGCCAACATACAGACGGTCATATCACAGGGGGTGGAATAACCAGACATCGTATTGTATCCACTGCCGGGCTGATATGGCTTTACAAAGGTATGGCATATGATAAAAGGGTCATTATATAGAATTTTCATATACCCCATATCAACCCATACGAAGGTCTCGGGTTGATATGGGGTATGATATGAAAACGGCCATATAATAACCTTCAAGTAACAAAAGTTAGGGAGTGACACACGCATGCACATACAAGCACATTTCAGTCCGTTGTTTGCAAGTGAGTGTTTGAGCGAAAAAACGCATTAGTCGGCATAATGCAAGTACCACTACAGAGTGAATATGTCTTTCAGACGCTTGTACGAGAGATGATTGAAACGTCCTGAACCTCAAACAAAAAGACTTGACCTAAAGGCATTTAAATGATATTATTTTTCAACATAACCACCTTCCCCATTGATACACTTTGCCAACGATGTTGCAGGATTTTATCCCAGTTTTGTAAAGTTCTTATCTTGGCGATCCAAAAGGTTCTCCACAGATGCTGTGAGTCTAGTCGAAATGGGTTTCGGCAAGAGTGTTTCTTGATGTTTGGAAACAGTTGGACGTCTGACGGAGTCAAATCAGGAGAATGGAGGCGATGACTCGGGGTTTGAAGCCATGGCAATGACTGATTTGTGCACTGGTGCATTGTCCTGATGAAACAGTACGTCTTTACTCGGCCTCTCACGTCTCCTTGTCCTAATTTCATTCAATAATTGCCGCAATTGCAGCATAACATGCTCCGGCCTGGGAAGATAGTCCACCATGATGACACTCTCAGTATCTTTAACACGGGACCATAACCTTTCCAGCTGATTGGACATCCTTTGTCTTTTTTATGGCCGTGATGTCAAATGCTTCCACTGTTCAGACGTTCAGTCATTCGCCGGTCAGTCATTAATATATCAAGGAATCCTGGATCATTTCTTGTGTTGCTCATGTGACAGGACTTCCAGGACGGTGATCGTTATCAAGACCCCCCTTTGAAGCTTAAACTGTGCTGTCATCCTCTTAAAGGAAGCACAGGCTTGCCTGGTGTTGTACTCATATCTTCATGGTGGCTTTCGGTGTTAAGACGGTGTCTGCAAGTTCCTGATCACCGCACGTCCCTCAAGTTTGTCCATTTTCCACAGGTTATTTACCCCTGCTTGTACGAAAGAGGGCGAGAGAGCCTAAAATGGGATTCAATCAGTATAAGGAAATGGAGTCTGGGCCTTCGGGGCGATGAGTGACTACTTTTACTACTAGGCCACCAAACCACCTCTATATATACAGAAACTGATCCTTGTATGGTGTTGATCTTTGTTAATACATGTGAGGGGGGTTGAATGAAATTTGTTTCAGTAATTCATAATAGATAAATATATCGCAGTAAGAGATTGTAAACCAGCCATATAGAAAATGAGCACCGCTCCAACAAGTCTAATCACAATACCACACAATGTGACCGATAGCTATCATATCACCCATGCCATGTTGGAAAACCTACATCAGGTTTCTACACAATCTCGACATCAAAACATAATATTAAGACTGCCGCTGACAAACCAATGACTGACTATACCAGCATAACCCCAGCACATCCTGTATGCTTATTCAGTCAATCAACAGTTTTGTTGCCCATCCTTGCTCTATCAACAGGCAGCATGTTGTGGCAAACAAATAAACATTCCAGTCACCTGCCACATCGTGACATCAGTAATAACATCAACCAAAATTGTCCTGATAGTTTATTAGTCCGTGTTAATCACAAACATAATCAGCTGTGTACAAACTTAAATACATTGTCATGTTTTTACACAGTAATACAAAATGGCTGAATGGTTACCATGGAGAAAGATCAATAAAATATCCTAACGCACTCTATTGGTCTCATATTTGTAACCAGTATCCAGAGAATGCAAAGCTTGATGCAGTGTCTTACATTCTAAAGTTACTCATGCGAGTTGGCTTGAAGCATTTGTGGCAATACATTGCATGGGTATATCGTTATACATAAATTATGGTAGCTTCTAAACGTGCCTAGCTTCAAACACTGGTTATACGGCTGTCATAGTCTACCATACAGTCCAAGCAAGTCAATAATAGTGGGCAAGTCCAGATAACTGTAGTTCAGAAAATGAAGTATCTCTGGGCTCCTTTTTATTATATTTTAAAAAGATAATCTAACAACTGTCTTTTCGGTAAAATATGTTCATTTTAGAGATATGATGTTAGTCTACAGCTGTCAGACAACATTACTTTAGGCATAGCGTTTCCTTCACTTACAATATAACAATAATCTCAGCAGATAATCTGAGTAATGTTTACATGGAAAGTTATAAAACTAGGCAACATAAAATAATATAATAGGTACTTTATGTCCCCTTTCCACTTAGATTCCTACACATTTTCCAAATATTTGTGGTTCCAACGATGTTCCAACAATCCAGTGATTGATATCATCAGCATCGATCCACGTAGATGGGATACGATCACCCTGCATCAACCAAGTCAGCGAGTCTGACCACCCGAATCCTGTAAGGTGCTGAAAACCAATTCTACCCCGGATGTTCACGTACATTTGTGAGAGTAATTTGATTGGACAAATGGACAGCTATGTTTAATAATTCAACCCAGGAGTGATAGTGGCAAACTGGTCCAAGGTGTTAATCATAATAGAACAGGGACACAATACACTGGATAATCGAGGATGCCTTTTTTGACGTGTATGACAAGCATATTAAGGTTGTTCAATGTATTTTGCCTTGGAATCCACATGGCGGCAAGGAGAGATAATACATACAGTGCTCTGGTCAGCAAGATTATTTTGTTCATGAGATCTGTTTTCAAATTAAAGGTAAGGAGGACAAGTTCTGTGCCAAAATGACAACATGTGTTACCTTCAAAGACCATCATGTCCTTCACAGATATACAGTGGTTTACATGTTACTTATATTAGTGCTAATAGTGAGCTTATTATGACACAATACTGTTTGCCATTTAAAGTAAATATAACCTATATAACACAAAATCTATTCAATATCAGAAATCTAGACAATAACAAAAGCAATTTCAAAGAGCAAATGAATGGGGTTCTTTAAAGGTTAAGTTTTTGGACAACCTGCTCACTTTTGAAATAAAAATAAATAAAATAACAGATTATTAATAAATAAAAAGTCAGACATTGTATAGCTATGATTTGGATCTGGGTATTATCCTATCAGTACCATGACTAACCATCTCAAAACGAATGGACTAGCTTCAAGATCTCAATAATGAGATCCAACATATGTACATAGTGTCAATGATTAAATTAGTATAAATGACATCAATAATCATTAAATAAGTATAAACAAAGCACCAATTACAATGTGCTCATATGATGCAAGCTGTTATGCAAAGACAATGTGTCTAAAAATAGATCAACTAGTGTAAGTAATACCAAAATTCAAATTAATTCTAATTAATATTTCCCTTTCATTTCTTATAAAACCAGTAATTCTACAGCTAGACTAACATTACATTTTGGCCATTTTTAAAGCTTTACAAAATACCAGTTTGCATAAACATCATGACAATGACAATGATATTTTAGAACATGTGCAATGTTCTTGTAATGACACAAGCAATGAGATGCTGACATGAATAAAATAGCATTGTTTTACAACTCTTTGGGTTTATGTACAAGTAACATACAACACAGTATAAGAGAGGCAGTATTTGCCAAAACATTCTGAAAGACATATCAATACATAAAAAATATGTGTATCCACTCAAGGATGAAATATTTTCTGTTAATACATACACCGTTGTGGCACTAACATAAACTGATCAGGCTGTAAATAACAATTGGTTCTCAGGCAACAACTTTCGATAATGATGCAACAGATCTTCCTTTTAAGTTTTAGTGATAAAAAGTGTGTTACATTGGTTTCAAAATTATGATATTTTGTCAGTTAAAACGGTTTCCCAGGTTACCGAGAACCAAATCAGCTGACAAGTTGGTAAACATACATGCAAATGATTTTAAGATGTGTTTTGAAAAGTTGTCATGAAGACTAGATACAGACTTGTGGAAAAATATTTGGGTAGGAAATAAACTTATTGGTCAGTTGGGTTACCAGAAATACAGGAAATGATGAGGTCGGCCTTGTGATTGCAGCGGAGAACAAGAAAGGTATTTTACTAGCCCATCATCACAGAATCCATGACACTGGAATAGCAACCTAAATACTTGCTGTCACTTACATTGATACTAGTGTAAGAAAATATTTTGTAAAGCACTAATTATATTTAGGATACATGTTCATAATGCAAAATTCCTACATGAATTTCACTCTGAGGTAAGAACAAATCAATATCAGTAGACACTTCTAAATACCGACACCAATTAATATCCTACCTCACACCCTGTTGCCAGTTGTACCTTATCTCAATGACTTTTCCCTGAAGTCCATGCTGACATGAAAATATGCGTAAAAACCCCAAGATATTAAACATAAATTAGTTTACTTTACTTGTTACCTTTGCATGACAAGAAACCACATGCCATATAATATTGAGACTAATACAATTCTTATAAAAGTACACATTATGCCAAACAATTCTACAAACTCTCTTTACATTTCTCCCATCATATATTTCTGTTTAAGTTTAGT